GTTGATCAACTAAATGGCGCCTCGATTGGAGACTATAAGAGATGCGTCCCAAGTCAATTGAATAGCAGACGAGGCTCATGGAGAACTTAGTTGTAGAATGATAACCGACATTGGATCTTTGACTTTCCAGCCGTTCTCATCGTCATTTCGATCAGATATGAGACGATTCCCTTACACAAGGGCTTCGTGTCTGCAGAAAAAAGACTGCTAGTCGACTATTTGTCATGTTGTCACTTAGGGAAATGTGATATCCTGAAAACAACTCCCTATTTCTGCCGAAACTAGGCAAATAAATTCAGCTGAAAAAAATGGCTCTATCTTCAGTCACTCTCCAATGGTCAACAAAGGCCAAAACACTGTCCAGTTACCTGGGCGTACCAGATGGGAGAAGTCTGTCCATTGGTCACTTACGAGCCAGGTTAAACTGCCCAAAATTTACTGGCATTTGAGTGTTTAGTACGACGGAAGACAGGTGATTATTCGCTACGCCTACACAAAGTCTCGAAAGGATCAAAAGCACCAAGGCATAATCTCCATTAACGACCCCTGAACTCAGAGTTCTTTTGATGACTGTCAGACGTCACGGTGAGGGAAAATCGTTAAAGGTATCGGCCCTGTCGTGCAGAAGACCAACCTAAACAAACCATCCTGGCAGTTGATCTGAGAGTTTTCGAGAAAATGGATGGTTTGATACAAAGATGGATGCTACTTTGTTCTATTTCAAGGAAGTGATTATAAATCTAAGACAATTCAAAATTCTAGAAAAGAGAAATGAATAAATGAGGTAAACAGTCTTTGCTTAGGTGATATAAAGTCCCTCTTGGTATCAGATTTAAAGAATTAAATCATGCAAAAACGGAAATTAAAGTATAGGAAAACCCTGAAAGTGGGTCATGGAGGTGAGAGGTGCATTTCGAAGGCTTCCGAACATAAAAACTAAAATAACCACAACATAATTTGTGGGCAATTTCTCGCAAAATAAACTAGTTAGGTCAACGTGAAATTCCAGCCTTTATTTTTTCAAGGTGCTTATTTAAAACATGGCAAAACGGAGGACTGAAGCTATTCCACGAAGCAATGGCAAGATAAACACCTCAATAGCAAGCACACTCAAATCTGGTCCCCATCTAAGAGCGAAGTCCGTGTTGAATCTAGAGCAATCTGATGAGCAGATGCGCCCCCATCAACAAATTGCCAAAGAAATCATTTACTCGGTAAACCGTGAAGCCGCCTCGACCGCGTTGAAGCCCAGCCAATAAAAGGGCTTAGTCCGAACTATACCAACGGGGCCAGGAAAAGATCTGTCCGAGGCACTGCATGAACAATAGACATGAAAAGAAACAGGTACGATTTCCTGATGGAGGGAAGCCCAACTGAACATACCAGACTCCATGCTGCTGCAACATACAGGCCGAATCCTCCAGCGAGGTTCCAAAAGGATGAATAGAGTCGAAACAAGTCTAAAACTTGTTGGAGCGCCTTTCATTTCGTTTGAAGAGAGGAAAGGGAGTAGTAAGTTTGTTCCGCCGGAGGCCGTGAGAGTGTTGTTTTGGAGCTGTGATTGAAGATTCGTGCGAATAGGTCCCCGGCGCATTGCTCTGCGACACCGATGAATTCTTGCTGAGTTTTCGTCCGTCATGTGACGAATATCGTTAGAGCAGGATACCAAACTTAACGATAATTCACTAAAAACATGGCTTCAAACCTACTTCCCCTTTATATTTCAATTTGGCCCACTTAGGCATCTCATGTTTTGGTTGGAGGCCATATGCTTTGCCTATATGTTTGCTCATAAGTTAAGTTAAGTGGCCGCAGATGACATTTGAAGTGGCTAAAGATGAAGTGTGAAATTGGTGCAATTGAAGCCGAACAGCTGCATCCTCGCCTAAAACACATGTGCCCTTGATCCTGCAATGTTACCACATGTGCTTGCGTTCCATTGCACGCGTGTTGTGTGAGTGCATTACTCCTGAAATGAGTGTGATGTGAGAGTCAAAACCACATTTCAGCCTAATCAAGTTTCCTCCTCTTTCCCGGTGGTGCTTTTCATTCCCGTCTCACTCTCTAAACCTATCCAACAGCTTCAAGTAGTTTCCGCTTAACTTCCTAATC